ATGGAAAAAATAATTGCTCATGTAATTAATAGGGACTATTTCAAAACATNTGATTCGCCTTTAGCGTCTTAGTTGCTTACACTGGCACTTTACAAATGACATTTTATTATTATTTAGTATTATTATTATTTGAATCGAGATCTCGATATGGTTTCGTTTTTTATCTTGATTTTTGACAGCGTATCGTCTCGTTTTATGGCAATCATCGTAAATATTTTTCGACAGTTGATGCCAGCGCATTTTGCAACCAAACTTATACGCCCTTTATACCCGAGCTAATTTGTTTTTTATGATGATCATTTAAATGCTTTTTTTTCCAGATTTAACAAATTAAACAATAAAACTATAAAAGCAATTAAGAGTTTATTTATCAAATAAAATCTTTTTTGGTACCGAGCAATTAAAACGTTTGAAATCATGAAATTTTTTTAATTATTAGTTCTTTTAAATCGTAAAACAGTCAAAAGAAACATTTTAACACTGATAAGTTCGTTTGATTGTTCGTCTGTCAACGGATTATACTTAATGTTGTTGAACGCTGGGCCACCTAGTGTGAAACAAATTCCTTATCAGTATTCTTTCACGCGTTCTGAAGCAAGAGGTATTCAGGTAGACATCCGCAAGTGGCTCTGCATTATTTCAAAGTAAAATTAAATATAAGAAGCTTCTTTGATTGAAATAAAGAATTGGATGTTTCTATTCAGCATAAAGTTAGAAATGAACGAGTGAAGACTAATTTTAGATAGTAACTACTAAAAAACATATGCATGTGTTCAAATTTTCGCATTTTCAATTAAATAGATACTTAATTATATTTTACATAGTTTTGCTTTTTCAAGCAAATAATCTGTTATAAAATTTCGTTTTTAAGCAGATCCATCATAAAATTGTGAAAAATTGAAATGTTGGTAGTTTGTTCTCACTTAAACTCCAATTTGCATTGGCCTTTTCGTACCAACACAGTATGCATTCTAATTTTAGCACTTTTGTGTCCTAGTTATGAAAATGATCAAGTTCAATTTTCCCAACCGCACATCTTATTATATTGAGTTGTAAATTTTAATTTTTTACATATTATATCATCGATCGATACAGATAACAGTTTTTAAACAAATTAAACACATTATTTAAATATTGTCATCTGTTAATAAATTTCTTGATATTCTTTATAAAACTGATGAAAATTTTAAGCAAAATTACTTTTCATTTTATTCTAAAAAAAAAATAATTGAATTGCGACATGTAAAAGTTATACGAATTTGGTTGGAGGGAATCAAAAATCAAAATAAAGTCGCAGTCGAGTTGGCACAGCTGATCTGCACTTGTTCCTGTTGCGCGCGCTGGAAGATTTTTCTTCCTTCTCTGCAGTTTTCCGAGATTGGATCAGATCTTTTTCCGGCAACAACGGAAAAAGGTGAAGGTGAGATGAAACGAGTTGGTTCCACATCGTTAAACCAGAGCCCACGTTAGCCAGTTGTTTTCATGCTGTCGCATAAATTGTTTTCAGTCACAAATTTTAACAGTGTCCATTTCGACAAAATTATCAAAGCATTTGTATTTAAACACAATGATTCCAAAAATTTTAGGTCTACAGTTTTATATCTTTTGATTTGTGCGAAAGCTGAAGGTAGAGCCAGAATGTTAAAATTTTCCCCTTAAAATTGAGTTTGAGGTTTTAAGAGTGATAGCAATCACGGTTGATTAAATTAGTTCATTCAATTCTTTCTGTAATCTTCTAATAAAATATCATGGTTTGAAGATTTTTTTGTGGTCATATTTTGCAGCTTTCGACGCCGAAGAAAATATTAAAATTGATTAATTGATCGATTTAAGTAGATGACACTTTAAAGAAAAATTTAAACTAGAAAAATCAAATTATAATGTGTTTTTACTTTACGAAATAACTTTTTTGTTATTTGTTCTTATTCTTATCGGGTTTCTTTACTGAAATTATTTATTTTAATTGATCCTTTTTGAAAATTTTACCGCTCAAAATGGTGAATTTAAAAACATTTCTGTTTATAGATATAGAATTTAATTTCCGAATTTTCTAGTGAACAATTAATTTTTTCGAATTAATCTTTTACAACCGCAAAGTCAAACAAGGAAAAAACATCACTTTATAAAAGCAAAAAAAGAAGCAACACCGAGAACAATAAACATTGATAAATTTATTCATTGTTTAAGATTGGCGTGAAAACATTTACAGCTAGCACACAGTGTACCAATCATCTCTGCACATATAGTTGTTCTCCATGTACCTCAGTTTGTGAATGTCTGGTGCCGTGACCAGAAAGTTGACAAAGGAGTCATCATTCAGAATGTGTTGGGAGCATTCGTGGTAGGGTTCCCTTTGTTTCATTCTGGAGTATTCTCGAACAACGTTCATCATTGGATTACAACTGCTGCAAGTTTTTGGTTGAAGTTGTTTCTGCTGAGTTTCAGCGTTGCAACTGCACGGCTGATTTTGTTGTTGTTCTTGGGGTTTCTTTGGGCATCCATAAACGTACTGTTGCAAAAGTGGAGGATTAGGTGGAGAGGCAGGACAACAGGTTATTTCTTTGTCGTTGTACTTCCCTCCTTCTATGCATGATTACGTATATGTATATGATCAATGCATTACAGCTCAGGTATTTTTAAAGTTAACATTTGATACTCAGCAGTTATAGAATAGCAGTTATAAAAAAAAATGAAAATTTATGAAAATTAAAAAGGTTTCAAAAAATAGCACAACCTTTTGGAGTTTGATTAAAACAAACATTGGGAATTTGTAACTTTTGTTGTTCCTTGTCGCCCACGTATTTGATTTGACGGAGATCATGATGATGTTGCTCTTGCATTTGCGCCATCAACTGCTTTTCGTTTTCAAGAAGTTGTTGTTTAAAAATGTTTTTACAAAAAAAAGTCGGTTTATTTATGTGCCTGCATTCCATGCTTTTCAGCATGTTCAGCTCTTTCAAAAGTTCCTGGCATCTAAAGCATGACTTTGCAAATTTTTTTCTTTCAGATTCGTGACACTTTCGCCCAAACCTAAAATAAAATGAAGCCAGTAACAAAAATACTATTTTCAACAATATTAATATTCAGATTGAAAATATATTTCGTTACGTATGTAGTGTGCAATTAAATTTGTGAAGACGTGGTTAATGTATTTAAAAAATGATTGTTTACAAAGTAAATATTTTTAAGTTTAAACTAGCAGACAAACAAAAAAAATAACAAAATTGTAGTTACGAAATAACAAAGCAACATTCAAAACCTCTTAGTAATAAGTTCTTTTGATTTGTTAGGTTGAAGTTGCACTCTGCACTTTTCCACGTCTTCCTGAATGAGTTGCATGATCTTCTGCCGCAGGATGTGGTACTCTAGTTTGGTTATGTTAGTTCTCATCAGCTCCCTGTTCAGTTGATTAATTTTTTCTTTCAAATTGGTTGGCGGTGATTCCAGTTGCTGTTTGACATCATCAATGAACTCTTGACCTTGTGGAAAGAGAAAACTGTGCTGATGCTGCATCTTCTTTATGTGCAACAATTTTTGAGAAGTTTGCAGCTGTGAACGATAGATGTGCAGCAATTGTTGTTGTAGGTTTTTGTTGTCTTCTCGATCTTTCGTTATTTTTATCTTTTTAGGATACAAAAGCATGGAGCCGTGTGGTCCACATTCAATTTCCTCTTTTTCCCATTCATCCACAGGACGACATTTGGCGGGCTGTTTAAAAAAAGGAATTTGCATTTTTTCTCTCGATTTTTGGGTGTCCTTTGGGTCATCTGAAGTGAGTTTTGGCTGGTCTTCACATATGCACTCATTGTTTTGGTCTACGTGGCAGACAACATTTTTACACAAAGAACATCTCAACCGTGGGATGTTTGTGGCTGAAAAAATGTCAGAACCGTTTTAGTTTTTTTTGGTAATTCAACTTAATTTATAGGTTTACTAAAATGATTTCAAATTTTTTAGTAATGCAAAATTCAATTTAATTTTCAAATAACATAGCGACAATGCAAGTACAATTTAACTATTTTACATAGACCTAAATTCCTTAAAAACTCAACCAACTTGGTACGTGACAACGAATATTTCCAGCATTGCAAACAGGTTTTTTGAGTTTCTTCATAATTTCAAAAGCTCTGCTTTTTTCTCTCTCGACACTCACTCTGTACTTGTCAGCAATCGATCGCAGGGTCTCTGGGTAACCTTTCCCAAAGTCGCACGATCTCTTCTCAACTGCTTGGCAGGGCCACTTGGCAACATATCTGTGCGTGGTGTAACTGATGGAAACACACGTTACTGGTGACATATCGACTTGAGCAAATTTATCGATGTAATATATCAATAAAAATTAAATTAAAGGCCACTTTATTTATTTATTGAAAATTTACACAGTTGCTCTCATCTGTTCAGTCAAACAATCTTAACTCTCATTTGATTGACTCAAGCCAGGTAATTTTTTTAGTAATAAAACTGGAACATTCTTGTTTTATTAATTTATTCTTTATGAAATTAAAAGTTAACTCGGGAAATTAAAATTTTATGAAACATAACGTTGTTCAGTACTTTGCACACTGGCAGTCGGGAGGGTTGGACTTGGTGTATGAAAGTTCGTTGCACGTGAAATTGTCTCTGTATTCAGATTTGGACATTTTATCCATTTTATGGTGATTACTAAACTTAACAATTAATATGGAAACTTTATCGGCGAGTCACAATGAAGCTCAAATTTAACTCGTTTAAAATTTTTTTAATATATTCGTTCAAAATTTAGTTAAATTGCATAAAAAAAATAATATTTCAATCTATTTTCCAAATAATGAAACGAATTCTTAAAACTTATTTTTAAATGACGTCGCATTGAACTGTGATAATAACAAATAGAACAATTTAAAGAAAAGATTTGTCTAAAACCACATTTATACGTGGCCAAGCAAAATAAAACATTTTTATATTTTTTTACTCGCTAGTTACAAATGATTTATAAAACCACCTCAAAGTGTCAGTCGTTGTTGTATAAATTCAAAATAAAAAATATATATCTAATATATATAAACTATATGTGAGGCTATAAAAAAAAAGTAAATTTATCAATATCACAGAAAAAAATTGGCAAATGAAAATCAACTAATTTAATGAACGATTATTCTGTGAATAATAAGCAAACATGTACGTAACTTCAGAATTAGAACGAAAAAGATCAAAAAATTAAAAATCAAAGAAGCAAATGTTTTTGTATGTGCTGGACAGACTTAAAATTTAATAATAGAAAGTTCCCTTTTTTTTGGAACTTTCTACCTTCTTCTCTGGCTATTTCTCTAACCCTTACAAAGTTTAGAGCAGATCTCAAAACCCATCTGTTTGCAAAATTTATCGAGGAACGCCGTGGAAATCGCGGAAATAGCACTTTACAAACTAATTGATTGATTGATGACTGACTGACTGACTGACTGACTGACTGACTGACTGACTAACTGACTGACTGACTGACTGACTGACTAACTGACTGACTGACTGACTGACTGACTGAATGACTGACTGACTGACTGACTAACTGACTGAATGATTGATTGATTGATTGATTGCTTGATTGATTGATTGATTCAATCAATCAATCAATCAATCAATCAATCAATCAATCAATCAATCAATCAATCAATTAGCTTATAAAGCGCTATTTCCGCGATGTTCAACAGATTGATTGATTGATTGACTGACTGTTTAACTGACTGACTGACTGACTGACCGATCGACCGACCGACCGACCGATTGATTGATTGATTGTTGATTGATTGAATGATTGAATACGATACACCGTCTAATAAAATTTAGCAATTTGTATATAAATATCAGAATTTAACGACTGTATGCAAGAACTAAAAAATCAAGAAATGTTTGTTTTGAACAAAGATATTACACAACTATTATTAAAAATATTATGTCTTTGGAAAACAAAAGTTTATTTATATTAACGCTTCATTCAAGTACCGCGGTTTTCGTGTTGCTGTTTGTTGCGTTTGCATGAAACGTTTGCGATTTAAGTTCAATTTTAATTTTTGAGTTTAAATTGTTTTAAATAAAGATTTTATTTAATTAATTTAATTAATTAATTTAATATTCACTTTTGATTGAAATTGATTTTTAAGTTTTTAACTTTTAGTAATAATAATATATTTAAATTAAAATTTTATACTTTACAATTTCTAACGATGGAACGAAGTGTTTACAAAGAATTGTTGACTTTCGTTCATTCGAATTTCCACAACGTGCAGAAGTGCATTGAGGACCTGCTCATCTTGCATCCAGGGTTCGTCCATCTCCTCTCTCCATCCGCCATTTATTTTTCCGTAATCCTGATCAGATGTTTTTATTTTAATTTTATTATGTTTTACTTTATAAATAAAGTTTATTTATTAATATTTAATTTGTTTGTATTTGTAAGAAGCAGTACTTGTACTAACTAATTTGATAAAATGATAAAAAAAGATTGTTTAAAATCGTTATTTAATGTTTTCACAAGACATAAGAAGAGTAATAAATGTAATTGTAATAATATGCAAAAAAGCCAATTTTTGTTACTAAAATTTAAAATAAGTATTTATAATTATTTTATTTATTTCTACCTCATATCATGTAATCATTATATCATTACATTGTAATGAAATTGTAATGTGATGCATCGACCCTCATAAGCTACTGTGTACGGCAGACATCTCAGTAATTTTTATTCATTATTAACAGAATATCTAATTTATTGTTATGTTCATTTTGTACTTTTATAGAAAAGTCATTTATAAGGATTAGGATGAAATTTTATTAAGCAAACCAAATCATGGGATATTTATTTCATTTAACTTTTTGTACCTTCAAAAATACAGACACTCCAGGCACACGTTTTACAGCATCTTCAACCAGGAGTTCCAAGTCTGATTGCATTTTTTAAATTTTTGACATAATAATTTTTAATCTAATTAAATGAATTATTGAATTTGTGAAAAATAATTTATTTAGGACAAGCACTTATAACTTAAACGCCACTGTGTTATGTACAATTAATTTAATTAAATATTAAAATTGTTATTGGTAATACATCTAACATTTATTTATTTATTTATGTTTAATTGTTTTGAAAATAATATTTCTGTTCCTCTGGCGTCCGCAGAAGAAGATGAAGATGACCCACCATCTGCATACTTCACTGGAGAAGACCAATGAATATTACTTAAAGTATGTTTTCTTCTGTTTTGTGTTGTCTTGTTGTGGGAAATGTTGACTGTTGTAAAAAAATTTTGTTTTTCATTTTTATTAATTATCTGAATAAATTTTTGTTCAGTTTTTGAATATTTTTTAAATTATTGGCTCACAACTGACCACAATTGAACAGGGTGGGGCCAACTTGACATTTTCTAATCTTATTTTCCTTCTTTCAGACTCAGTTGTTTGATTGAATGAACGAGTGTTTGTACCTAGGAAATATAAAAAATAAGTAAAGATAACACCAAAGTCATGATTCGTTTCTTGTTTGTAATGGATCTGATAATCTATTTATCTTAAAAACTCGAGTGTATATTTATTTATTTTTTTAATTTTTTTATATTTATTTTATTTTACGGTTTAGTTTTTATAAAATTTAGTTTTGTTAAGTTTAAATTTCTTGAAAAAAAAATTTCGATAAACATTCTAGAGTTATTCAGCAATTAACATTATAACATTGGCTTCATGTGACTTGCATCATTCACTCCTTTGATATCTTCTTCATCGGTCTCAGACAAATTTTAAGTGCTCAATGTTGTAGTTTCATCATCACTTCTCAACAATTAATAAATTTGGAGATAACTTCTGCTCACAAATTTCTATTTTATTATTTCACATTTGATTATTTCCAAGTTATTTAAAATATCTTACAACGACAGCTACACTTTTATTTTTCATCCATTCATCAACTAATTACTAACATAAATAATAATCATTGAAGTTATTTAGAATTCAAGGAGGGTGCTCAGAAGACATGTGTTCTGCAAAATATGGCCTACCAAGTTATTTCTTTCTCATTCATTCATTCATTCGTCCATTTATCAAAAAATTTTTCCATTTATTCAACATTTTCAAACGCTTAAATGTTTGGACTATTGGGCTTTCACCTAAATGAATAATTTTTACTCGCATATCTAGTTATTACAATTACTATCTGTTTATTCAAATCCTCAAGGATTAAATTTAAACTCTGATTAATCGTATCGACAATTGTTTGTGTGAGACGATTGCATGTTTTTTCCCATGAGATGATTGATTGAATGAATTCAATTGAATCCAGGTGGGCCTGTCACCCTTCTTGATGGCCAAGATCATCGTGGAGAGACACCTGGCCATCAGCAAATTTGATGGCAAGAGTCGTAAGCTCCCCTTTTGTTTATTTCATTATTTTGTATAATTTATTTTTTATTCAACTTTTTATTTTGGTAAATCTTTGTTATCTTTTCCAGAAGTCATTTGGTATGTTTCATTTGCTCTTGCTCATAGAATGATATTGTTGAAACGTTGATGGTATCACATCATTGCAACAACACGTTACGAGCAGGGTGTTGGAGTCGGATGAAAAATATCCATCTGACTCCGAGTCCCTTAAATAGTTCCTACTCAGACACTGGTTGCAAAATGGTTGCGAGATGGTTGCAAGATGTATCAATCTAAGACTGAACAACCACAAAGTTTATTCACTAAACCAGATGTCACCATATAAATTAATTGCACTCCATGAGATCGTTGTTGAGTTTGATAAATGTGATGACGGATTTAAATTTTTTGTTATTCCAGCTTCAAAATCAGACGTGAACTCTGCAATGAGGAACCCGGACCTGCTGGAAGACGAAGCTCTCGCCAGGGATGTTTCATGGGTCAGTTGCTGTTGTGTTGTTGTTGTGATGCTGTTGTGTTGTTATTGTGTCGTTGGGATGTTTTTGAGTTGCTGTGATGTTGTGTTGTTGTGCTGTGATGTAGTGTTTTTGTGATGCTGTTGCGTTGTTGTACTGTTGTGTTGTTATTGTGTTGTTGTGATGGTTTTGTGTTGCTGTGTTGTGATGTTGTTGTGTTGTGATGTTGTTGTGTTGTTTTTGCAATGGTAGTCTCATGAAGTGTTCAGACATGCTTCATATTATTTAATTTTTCATGTATGCAAGAATCCTACACCTACTTAGGGTTCAAAGTTTGTTTTATTAGTTAAGAGACAGTCTTCAAGTTATGTGATGTTAGGAATTTTAAGTTGCAGTATTGTTTTACCGGATGATTTCTTGATATTCGGGTTGAACTTCAATTAATATTAAGTTTTCTAAGTTTTTATAATTCTCCAGCTTGAAAATTTTAGATCAAAATGGATTGCATTAATTGCTCACTGAGGCTGCAATCTGTTTTCCAACCAATATTTATTTAATTTTATTCAAAAACAAATTTTCAAGTGTGCCACTGTGGATGATTTCTATGGACCTGTTGCTGAGTCGATAAAGATGTTAGTAGAGTGTTTGTTTGGTGCTGTTCTGTGTTGTTGTGTTGTTCTTTGTTATTATATTTGTTTTTGTGTTGTGTGTTGTTGTTTGCATGGTTCTTCAATTATATTTTGAAGGGTTGTAATTTATTTCCAAGTTTTAATTCAGGTTTGTAAAAGTAGCATTATAAAATCTGTTGCTCAGCTTCGAATCCAGTCTTAGTTTCTGAATATTATTAGTTGCTAGTAATTTGCAGTTGAATGCTTTTAAGCTCGCTAGTGTCCTTCACTGTGCATGCCATGCTTATACGTCGCAGTTCAATCATACTTCTCTGTAAAACTGGAAGTCACATGTACACATAACCCTAACTTGTATGTACTCGCAAACACGTATTACGTAGGCTGGGGACGTATGATATAGCCTCTAATTAAGTCAGATAAGCACTTAATAGCGTTGAGACGAAAGCAAACTAACTCGCAGACATCGGTCGACCTGTTGGTTGATTCAGTTTAGCTTCGTTGGGTTATTATTCTCATCATGGTGGTATATAAGTCGTGATTCATGGAAGATGAATGTTCCGTCCCACTCATTTTTGTGCTTTGCATTCGAAGGTCACTCGGCCACGAATACGAAACAATTCTGAAGAACAAATTGCAAGAGCACGGCGTTCCATACCAAGGTTTACAATTTTTTTTTGCTTTAATGTTAATGTAGTTTGAAATTTCAATTGATTAATGATAATAATGACCTCAATTGGAAGCGTTGAACTGATCAAACCATCACCCGCCACACAACAGATGAGTACCAGATGAGGTCACGTGGTTACGACAAGACACCTGACACCATTCTGCAGATTCCTATTGGTTGGTTGTTTGTTTACTGGTGATTGATTGGTTGGCTGTTGTCGGCTGATGTTGAGGGTTGTTGGCCCTTTTGTTTTTTATTAAGTTGTAACCCTAACTTTATTTTCTTTGTTTTTAATATTTTAAAATAATTTATATAAATTTGCTGGATCTTCTATATTCTAAAATTTCCATATGCATCGATGTATGTAGGAGAATATTGCATGCATATATATACATATATATATAATTTCCTCCTACATATCTACCGTGCCGTTCACTAGCCAGGTCTCATTATCTTCCAGCTCCAAGAAAAGCATTTACACTCCTTCCATTTCTCTCCTTTTTGTTAACAAATTTTTTTCTAAATATGAATTTGTTTGCAACGAATTTTTCGATGTTACCTTCAACGTTCCGTCGCCCTATATTTCATTGATAGGAAGTTGGAATCCATTTTGGAAGTACTAATTAAGATAGACCTTGCAAGTGATGTTGTAAGTTGTGTTGCAGCGAGTTCAAGGGCCTGAAAAGTGCAAACGTACAATTTTACAATACAGTTTTAAAACATTTTGTTTTTCGGTAAAAAAAATTTCATTCCAGTTAGTCATTCCTTCTCCCATTTAGTCACATCCTTTTTACTTGGCTTTGTCAGCAAGATAAAAATCTCCCCTTTTGCAATCCCCATGTGAGGAAGCTACATTCTCCCGTATGATTAATAAATGGATAATTAAATTTTAATTGAATGAATGATTAGATGAAATGTTCTCCAGCCGTGAATGGACATATAGTGAACTGGATTGAATCGAAGGCCTTATTTGGCGACGTGCCATCTCATGAGAAGTACGTGAAGGAACAATTGAACTGCTACACAAACAGGTCATTCTTATTTTTTTTTAAATTCCATCTTCATTATTTGGTGTTTTGATGGCCTAGTGGTTAAGGTCGCCTGGTGCTGTTTCGCAGTGCGTGCAGTGACCGGGTTCGATTCGGTTATATGACAAAAACATCCCCGCCCATCACATGCTTCGTGTGTGGTGCGTCGTTTTGCACGTATTCGTGTGCGGTTTTTGTGGCGTGCTGAACCTAAGAAGAGTGTATCAGACCTTTACTTCTCGGAGGTATCAACACAATGCATGCAAATATACACGAATCAGCCCATCAGACGTTGAATGCGGGAATTTTTTTTAATTCGAACCCCGTCACTGCAACAGCAGGGCCAGACACCTTAACCACTACACCAACGCAACACTCCACATCTGGTCTCTTCCATGTAACTGTCAGTGACGTTTTAATAAAACTTAACAAATAATTAATCCAGATTTGGAACGGGACTGGTGATATATTGGTTCGGATACCTGGCTGAGTTGAAGAACAGCTGCAAAGATATCATGGTGCTCGACTGCTTTCCGCGAGAATTCAAAACGTTACAAGTTGATGGCATGGACTTGATTCTTAGGACCGTTGCAACTAATTCATAATTTGTTAATTAATTAATTAATTTATTTGTAAATTATTTGTTAATTTTGTAATTAGTTCAATAAATATAGTAAATGAAAAATCGTGGGTTTAGTTTTATTTATCAATTGTAAATCAAATAATTTGAAAGGTGTTTAAATTAAAAAAATAAAGCTAAAATTATATAATTAAATTAATTGACAGTGTAATGATCTTGAAACTCGCTAAATCTGAGTAATCCGTCGAAAGTTCACATTGATCAGAAGAGTTGAGGGCAACGATCATTTGGAGAATAATTAATAATCAACATAGAATAATTAACATAAATGATAATTAAATGGCGGAGTAATCAGCGTTAATGTACAAGTTCTGGAATGTCGTAGCAAAGTTATTAACCAGAAATAAATTTAAAAGTTATGCATGCATATGTTAAAGAAATTATATCCAAACGAAGGGTGTGTATAAACGGAATGTGCATAAAACGGTGACAAACAATTACGTGAAATTCGTGACACCTACCGACAGTTTCAAGTAAAAAATCATCATTGAGTCAATAATTTCAAAAATTATCACGAATATATTAAAATTTAGAAATAAACAAATCTATTAACTCCAATTATCGTGAATGCTGGCACTCATCTTTCGATGACCATCAATATGATAGTTTTGTTTTGCAGTTTCAACAAGTTGAGCGCTTCATGATGCTTCAAACCGTGCAACGACTCTCCATTGACCGCTGCCAGGATGTCTCCCTTCTTCAAGCGCCCATCCCTGTGTGCCGGACCGCCTTCAAAAATATTTTTTACGTAGATCGGAAGATTTTTCTCCGACCCTCCAACGATGGTGAAGCCGTATCCATCAGCCCCTCTGTCCAGCGTCACGATCTTTATGCGGTCCTCCGCGTTATTCTGGCGCCCATCGCTGCCTGGCCTCTCCCTGCGCATGTCATGAAATGATGTTCATTTTTAAAAATTTTAAAGTTTCTTAATGACGGGTACAATCAATAAGGTAATCGTTTATGTTGCGATTGTGATTCTTCATAATGCTATATTACCGATATTAATATTTTTTTTTATAGTGCAGTGATTAGTTCGACGGAATGTGCGACCATTTTGCTCGCATGCTACCGGGGGAAATCTCCGACCGAATGAGTTTTTAAATTTTATCGATTAGTATTTTTATTTGTTCTAAAAACGTTTAGGAGTGAATTTAAATAAATGAATATTTGATATCATATTAAATTTCTTGATAGCTTCTAATATTCGTTTGTTGTTAGCTATGATGCAAATTTTTCAGTTTTTTCTACCCAGCCCCACAATTCATCACAAGCATCGCTCGGATTGTAAAATGAAGAGAAAACGCAACAACGTTTGGCTAATTATTCCGAGGTATCACACAATGAGGCCAGATGTGATAGATACAAAAAACATAGTGTTTTCCACCTTGATATGGTTCTATAGACAATCCTCGTCGAATATGGCGCTGCCTTCAATCTGTCAACTATTCAGCACTGAGCAATGTACAGCAAGCTCGCTATCAACGTCATTCCCCGAATATGGTCTAGACAACAACTGAGTTTGAAATATCTTCGCTAAACTTTAAAGAAGTAATAAATATACGTAGAAATATCTGACTATAGAGAGTATAGATAGACCAATGTCAAACTTGTTATTGATCTGAAAGATTATTATTGAGCGGTTGTATGAAAAAATGACCATTTGACGCGAAACAATCTATTGCTAACAATAATTCACCAGTCAAGCTATAATGCATATTAAATACACAATTATACATGCCGGTCTGAACAACTGAGTCTACGCATTAGTTTGGCGAAATGATGCGTCGGGACGCACAGTTAGTTTATTATAAAATGAATAATGAATAATAATAAAATAATACAAGCTTAAGTTGAATGATCAAGTTGAATGTGGATTTCAGAAATACCTGTTGTAATTAGCGTGGTGGAAACCAAATGCCTGCTTTGATTTTTTCGTGTCCTGTTTCTGCGTTGATTCTATAAAATGATGAAATTTATGATGAGAAACCGCACAACGTCAATGAGTTAAATGAGAGGAGAGACAGTTGAGGGTGCTTGCAGACTTGTGAGCATTTTATAGATAGGAAGAAATCTTTGTGAGTTGTAATGATAGTAATGAATTCCAAAACGACAGCCGGTTTATTATTGTTAAAAAATGACAAAGAGCAGTTGACTGAAAAGTCCAACATTTAACGAAAATTATGAACAATTAGAAAAAACTTTAAAAGTTTATAGAAGTAAGAATCGTCATCAGCCACCTCGCAACACTTCCAGAGTGACGTCATCATGTGCCCCTTGAATGCATCGTATGACGTCACTGGCCGACATGCAATCAGTCGTCTGCTCGTTCACGCTCAATATGTAGTCGTTCACCTGCAATCACGTGACTTCGTTCGTAACAATTTCAAACTACCATTGCTGTTAAATATTCGGCAAAATATTATTATAACTTGATAATATAAAAAAGAGGGTAACATGAAATCTTCTGGAGGTGGCTTCATGTCCGCTGATGTTCTTAATAGAGGTTTGTTGAAATCCTTGTTCGAAAGCACCAAGTTCCTCGCTTTCCAGATCCAACATGATCAGCCCTCTTTCAAAACGTGTCAGTTTCACGTTTATTAGGTTGGCGTTCGGATGTCCTGAGCACATTTAATTAACTTCAGAACAATTGCTATGCCAGTTATTGTTTTATTCTGTACCAGTGAATAGCTATCCATCATTAGCCAATCAATCAATCAATCAATCAATCAATCAATCAATCAATCAATCAATCAATCAATCAATCAATCAATCAATCAATCAATCAATCAATCAATCAATCAATCAATCAATCAATCAATCAATCAGTCAATCAATCAATCAATTCAATCAATCAATTCAATCAATCAATTTAATCAATTCAATCAATCAATTTAATCAAGCAATCAATTCAATCAATCAATTTAATCAAGCAATCATCAATTTTTGTGTTGTATTGATGAAATTTTATAATTTGCGACGCTACGATAACTAAAACTGTTCACAAACTCGGGGTTGTTAATATTTTCATTTGGTGCTAAGTTCTATGTTCAAACCATTTATTATAATTTAGTAATAAATCGTAGATAACAAAATTGATTCGGAATATTAATGACGTTAACATGCATATTAATTGAAATAAGCCGAAACATTATGTTAAACATAAAAAACGAAATGTGCTGCAATCATTGGAGGTCTGTGACTGAGGTGTCAATCAATGAAACAATGACAACAACTAGGTTGACAACATTTAAAAACCTTCGTAGAAGTAAGTGTATAGGAAGAAAATTTATTAAAATTTTGATTCACTCAAATAGTAAATAATTCGTTCTAAAGAATGAAAATATTTGCCAGCTGAAATGCAGAAAATTGAACGCCTTAAGATACATGAACGAATGGAGGGAACCGGTCAACATACGTCTGGCGAGTTTGTCAGGAATGTTGGAACCAGAGTCACTGAGACGGGATGATGACTTGTCATTTTTCAGCCTCCTCACGTCCAACAGCGTGATGCCTTTTGCTGTCTGCAGTGTTCATAATTGCAACAGTCGAATAAAGAAATAAAAAGACATTGCTAGTGGGGAAATGATTACTACGTTCATGTCTCACGAATAGTTATTAATCCTTGCCTTTATCTACGATACTATATTTATAATTATGAATGCAGTTGAGGTTCGTCATAGCGAGCCCGGTTACAAAATAGCTATCTTATATAAAACAGAACGGCATTTTTGTATGGACTTGTGTCCATCTTCTCCATAAGTAACACATTCGGTTGTTATAAGTACTACTCCTATTTATTGTGAGAGAACTTGCCGTTATAAAGAAACGAACCTTGAGAAGTTCAGCCGCTGCAGCTTGGCCTTTGAATGTTTGCTTGTTTATCATCAAAATTTGATCGCCAGGCTTCAAACGACCATCTGCTTCCGCCAAGCCCCCTTTAACCTGCAGGCGTTTCAAGGGATAATTCAAAAGAGAGAATTAAATGATTCGTAGTTTTCAACAAAATTTTCAACAGTTTCAAGTTCTTATCTGACGATAATCAGCAGCCAAGGAGTCAAGGTGAAGGCTTTCAGTGCTGCAGCTGCAAGCCCACATTAAACATATTTGTTAATTTGGTTCAACATGCACCCAATGTAAAATTTGCAATAAAACTTGCAGCTTCCTCTAGCAATATAGAATTTGCTTAATAAACAAAGACCATTTCTAACTTTTTATCTTTAATATAACCGGTTTCACTACATCATAGTGTATGTATGTGATTTCTGCATTTTTTATTTTACATTAGTAAATTTTTATTTACTTTATGAACATTTCAACTATTTTTAAAAAATTATACAAAATTATTCTTTAATTTATTTTAATGTTACTAAGTTCCAGAGAACAAAAGAAACAAAGACCAACCAGATCGCAAATATGAACGTCCGAGTCCTGGTGCTTGCCGATGATGGTGATCCCGATGCTCTGACCTGGCTTCTTGTGCAGGTCAATCTTCAAGTAATCATAATACTCATCCTTAATGGCTTGGTCGTTCCCTTTGAAGTGGCTGACCATCAGGACCACCTTCCCCGGACCCTGGCGCAGCAAGGTCATGGCCATCTCTCGAGTTACTAGTTCGGTGTTTGTGCCATTCACCTTAGCATTTTAGAAAACATTTGAATGCTGCTTGTGAGCGGAAAGGTGCATATAAATTGGTGCTTACAAATATGGAAGAAATTTAAATAAGATTCAAACAAACGTGAAACTACCTTTAAAATGGTGTCTCCCACCTTCAACCTGCCATCTTTATCGGCTGCCCCGTTCTTGTATATGTCATTCACCACAATGGCTCCCTACAGTTTGCATTTGTGTGTGGTTCTTCGTTTACTCGTTCATTTTTAAGCAAGTAGGTATACAAATTATGTGTACGGCTCATTAATATTTTGTGGTCGTGCGTTCCGAATGGGTGTGTGAGTTTACAAGTAAAAAAAAAACGTTATGCTGGCATGTGCTAGTGTACGGTGTATTTGCGTGTACGAATTCATGTATGCAAGCTTCATTGTTATCTAAGTGCAGAGTGTGATATGTATGTGTCTGAAACAACTGACAACTGGAGATGTTCACCAATAACGTATCACTGCCGCCAATGATGCTGATTCCAAGCTCATTGTTCTCCCTGGAAAGTTCGATGGTTTCCAGATTATCGTACTGTTTCAAATCTTCCAGTTCGTTCGTCAGAGAAACTCTGCTTCCTCGTCTGCTGCCGACCGATGCGTTTGCTTCATTCGTCCGTGATTGTAATGTCGTGTGTATGTGTTTGACGTGTTATTCATTTAGTACCATTCATTCAATCATTAGAATATAACATCCCATTACTCATTTATTTTAAAGCAAGTAAGTATACAAATCATGTATGCGGTCCAATAATATAATGTGGTTTTGTGTTCGTACGTCATATACAAACGAAGTAAACACAAGCTAACAAAAGAACCATTCCATAATAACGCACCATTGACAAAATCATTTGAACCCCTCCTGGCGTTCAAGGATTCATTCGAAGATGTGGCTAGCGTGGTAAAGCTGTGGTGGCTTGATTCACTCGCACTCAACAGTGGAGGAATGGTGAACGGCAAAACACCCTGCGAGTAAATTTCGGTGACGTAGTTTTCGACGAGTTACAGTTCAATTAACTTCAAACCGATGCACAAATTTAAAGTACAAAATTGCTAAACGATAGCTGTTTAAATGTGTAGGACAATGCAAAATATCGAAGTAGGTAGAACTGAACAGGTTAACTAGATATGCAAAGTTAATAAATAGAAATAAACTTAATTAGACTTAACCAACCGGAACATGAAGATATTCTGAACTTTTGGCTTTTTTTATATCTTCCTTTTTCACCTTTAGAAGCATGGAGGAATCGTCCACATTTTCTTTCCCGATGTTTCCCAAGCTTAATCTTGGTTTGTCCTGTGAAGAAACAAACAATGGAAATGCTATTTGCTGTCGATGAAATAAAAAAGAAAAATTGGAGCATGTTTTTGACAAGATATAAACGATCATAAGTTTTGTTCTTTTTAACGTCAATATAAACTTGTCTGTATTTACCGTTTTTTAATCGATAAAACTGATTTGGGAGCCTGCTGAGTAAATTGGTATTAAAAATCCAAATGGGAAAAATCTTTGAAACTTTAAACTTTATAAACACTAACCCAAAGAATGATAAATCATTTTTACTGAACAACCAAATTATTTTTTAACATCATGGACGGACAAAATATTGAGGAAATACTGGCTAACCAATATTTTCGACTGTAACAATGGACTTTTTGGATTCAACGCCATCTTCTCCTTGTTCTCCGGAGATCTTAAAAATATTTTATACAAATACCTGAAATTTTATACTGGTCGACCTTGTAGCATTATCTGTTTTTGGCTACAGAATAAATCTTGTTTCGTTTCATTTGAACATTAAACATAATTGAAAAAAAAGATTTAGCGTTTCAATTTTAGAGTAGGGCATCTTGCCTACTTGAATAAGACTCAAATATTCAGCAAACTTGTTGATGACTCATATCAAATTAACCTAAATCGTGTAATCATTCAAGTATTTCAAAAATTTTCAGTTTTATTTGCATGTTTTAGTACAAAGATTCAACAAATATCTGATAAACTGGAGTTACATCTTATCACTCAAAATTCAAAAAACTGCTGAATAAGAGATATAGCTAAATTTGCTGTTCAATAAAAATATGTTGGGATGTTAGAAAATGACTGATGATTTGTGGGAGAACCTGAGAAAGACGATATTGATGTCTGGCGAAGATATAGATTTGATGATGTAAGATGCGTTCAGGTGACTCCTCTCATGGACAACATGACCGTTTATCTAGAAATTCGGTTGATCAGTTATTATAAACTTTTGCTTACATCACAGATTATAAAAAAGTTAAAAAAAATACGTTTGCTACTGTTGAACTAATTAAATAAATATTTATTATTTATTTTTGTAAGCATCAACAAAAAAATTTCACAATTAAAAGCATATAATTTCTAAAAATATTTAAAATATTTGAACAGAAAAGCCCTAGGATGAACCTCAAGAAGTTCATCTCCAGGTTGCAGTCTGCCATCGTTTTCAGCCGCAGATTCCTTCTGGATTGCAGCCACGAAGGTGTTCATCTGATCCAAATTTTTGTTTCCCGCCAGAATCAATCCCAAGCTAGATCCAGGCGATTCCAGAACAATGTTGATGGAATGCAACGTGCCTTTCAAATGACCATACTTCTGCTGGATGGGACCGGGAATCTCTAAAAATGTTCACGTTGGTAAGTTCAATGAAATTATTTTGATATGAAAATAATCGACATCGAATTTAAGAAAATATTAATTGACTAACCCAAGTTATTTTCCTCCATTTGGTATAAAAGTTTGAAAAGTAGCAATTGATTGTTAAACGACAATTTGAATAAAATTATAACATTATAAACTTTAAAATATTTAAAAACTTAAATTTAAAAAATTTAAGTTTAATTTTTTAAATTTAAAAACTATTAAAAAAACAATTTAAAATCTAAAACAATCTAAAAAACAATTTAAAAACTCTAAAAATATTTCGTTTTATTATGCAAGAGTTTGTCAGCAAGATATCCCAAAATGCAAGGAAATTCATACAAATGTAGACTGGAAGAACCAATGCAGTGAATACGGACAACTCAGCCGTTTCATTTATTATACAGTCTGTACCGTGCATTCATTGGTAGGAAGGAATCATTTTTGTAAGAAGCATCCACTGACGCTTCAAATAGTGTTCGATGAGATTGTCGATGCAAACATTCGTGCACTACCATCAACAAATGAACGTCGACGAATGGCATCGCATTGTTTCAACGTTTTGAAGACCATTCGATGCATTCCATACCATTCGATGCATTCCATACCATTCGATGCATTCCATACCATTCGATGCATTCCATACCATTCGATGCATTCCATACCATTCGATGCATTCCATACCATTCAATGCATTCCATACCATTCGATGCATTCCATACCATTCGATGCATTCCATACCATTCGATGCATTCCATACCATTCGATGCATTCCATACCATTCAATGCATTCCATACCATTCGATGCATTCCATACCATTCGATGCATTCCATACCATTCGATGCATTCCATACCATTCAATGCATTTAATACCATTCAATGCATTCCATACCATACACCAGCCATCGAATTATCGAATGATTATTGGCATGCGCATTGAAGAAAACTAGCAACACAAACATTTAAACAAAAATAAAAAACGCATGCATACACACACGCAAACACACACACACACACACACACGTATATATATATATATATTCTAGATGCAAGTTAAATTTTCCTTATAAGGATAATGTAATTAGATGGAACGACACGAATGGAGAAATAATACAGGTGATAATCAGATCCGCGCCACACCTGGACAACATTATATTCATATTTGTTTTGAAAATCTTTCATCTAACATTTACTATTTTTTTGTATGTAATGTTTATACGCTATAAATGTGTCTGTCCATTGTGCATCGCAGTGATTTTGCCTGATTCGAAATGCCAAAACATGAAAAACAATTAAAACAAATGCAGAAAGCTGCTTTACATTACGTGCAATATTCATACCATGTTCGCAGACTACTGCATGTCTATAATATAAAATTGAACGTCCTTAAAGCAAAACAGTAAAAAAAACAATTCTCTGATTTAGAATAAACACCAGAAACAAAAATGAAAAATACTATTACGGCGAAAATATTTGTACTGGTTGAACGTCAGCGGACGAATAATAAACTTTGACACATCATCAACATGAAGATAACAACAGTGCAACACGCTGGCCATGCAGCAGGTACGTTATGACGCAAGCCCTCAGTTGCACGGCACTGCCATGTCGCAACATACACCTCGATGACACGTTCCTGAGATATATATCACTGCTGAACTACTTTTGCACATTTTAGGTTTTTAGAAAGTTAACAAATTATTGATTGACCTCATCAAGTCTCTCAATTTTCAAAAATAGTTGGTTAATTTAAGTCGTTAGTTAATTCGTGCATTGTTGTCCGAGTTGAGCATATTGCCAAATTTTTAGCTTAATCGAACAATAGGAAGTTATATAAAAAATCTGTTACAAAATTCCTTAGAAAACAGATATATAAATAGCAAACATGTAAAGTTAATTTAAGCTAGGTAATAAAATAAATATAAAATTGGGGGCGTACCAAGGGTGACAGCAGATAGGGGCATCAAATCCTTTCGGCGCTCCCCCTCTACCTACCATGTTTGCGTATGTTTGTATTCCATATTAACATAACTTCATAAGACCAGTAAACAGTCGCAAATCTGGAAAAACAACTCAGCTTGTATGGTGCTGGGTTAGTTCTTGCACAAATCCATTAAAAACATTTTTATAAAAAATATTTTGGAATAAAGTAATGATTAATTTTTTTTAAATTTATAGCGGTTTCACGTTTTCGTACCCATTTTCAAGGGTGGCTCTAGTGAACTTTTTAACGAGAGGGGATGGTGCAAAAAACTGGAAAATTACTTGGCGACCCTTTGGCTTATTACACAATTTTGTGTCAATCTTCCTATTAAAAATGGCGTTTTCATGTATAAAAACTGTGTTCATGTATGAAAATAAGTTAAACAATATAATATATGTTGGTTACATTTTCAAAAAGAACAGCAAATTGATTGTTGACTGTGGATAACGAGGAGGGCCCTCGGACCCCTTAATCCGCCACTGCTCATTTAAACACCCCACGACCGCCCTACTCCACTCTGGGTACGCCACTGCATGAAATATCGAGCAATTCAAACCAAAAAACCAGAAATGTTCACCTGCATCAAAGTTATCATTTTCAACAAGAAACCAGACGGGACTGGAGGCGTTTTTGATCATTTCGACCGTCTCTTCGTGGCTGGCATCCCTGCAGTTCATTCCATTCACCTTGGTGCATGTTTTGCAGAACGTTGTTAAATCATTCATGCAATGAAGCATACTCTTTAAAAGTCATTAAAAGGTTGCTTTGGTTTTTTTTGTTTTTTATATTCATACGAAAAATGCATCCAAAATAAAAACATAATATCGATGAGAGGCCGTTCAATCAAAAATCACGTGACAGGAAAAACGAATTTTTTCAAGCCCTCCAGTGACCTCTTCCACGTTTCAACAAAACTCTTCCTAAACAAAACTAAAATTTCCTTAATGAAAATTTTACATGCTTATTTATTTAATTCAGAAAAGCTTTAATACAAGTTCATTGTATTGTTTATTTTAAATAGGTAGGAAAGAATCATTTTTCAAAATGCTACACGGATGAGTCTGGTGTATCATTCTACATAAAACTACACTAAAAATTGTAGATTATATATAAAATCTAAATTAATATAAATTTTATTTCTGATAAATAAAAACAATAATTTGTTATGTACTACACCTTAAATCCCTGGCATTGAAGCCTTACGTAATTACGTAACACTCGAAAGACCCTTAAATAATTTGGCCAACTTCGAAAGCAGAAAATTCGAACGCCGCTTTTTATTTAATCAACTATTAAACTATCGACATAATAAAATAAAAAGATGAAATAAAATAAAGTTATAATTAATGAAAAGGAATGAATACTAATAGAAGATGTTAGTTTTTAAAAATAGGATTCTTTCAGTAATTCTATCACAATTGATAATAATAATGGGAGCAATCTTTTATTGACAAAAAAGATAAAATCAAAATGAAATCAATAAAAAAATTGTTAATAATTTGTAAGAGTGTAAAAAAATAAATGTAAATAATTTATAAAATTTTATAAAAGAAAGGAAAAGAAAATCTATAATAATAGTAATAACAATAATAATAATATAATAATAATAATTTTCCCAATACCTCCAATATGTGGTCACCAGTCTTCAATCGTTTGTAGGCCGTCCCTTTCTCATTAACGTTCTTCACATATACCCCATCATGCAGGCCTCCGATGGAACGACCCCCTAATTATTATCAATGTTGAATAGGTTCGTATTTAACAAAAAAAAAATTTAATTAACATAATATTAATAATGTGTGCGGTGCTTGCGCGAGCATACAAAATAAGTGTGCGTTTTGTGTTTTGTGGTGGAGATAGGACAGCCTTCGTTGCACGAATGTTCAACTAGAAAACTAGAATAACATGCCATTCATTCATTCATTTATTCATTCATTCATTCATTCATTCATCCATCCATTCATTCATTCATTCATTCATTTATTCATTCATTCATTCATTCATTCATGTCAGATCTGCATATTAAAAGACGAAAAAAATATGCTCGCTCGCACGGCGTGTGTGAAAAAGTGTGAACCGATGGACGCATGGCCTCACATGCGGAGATCACTTTAGCATTCGAACCTGGTTATAACAACGCAGAAATAATAATCATCATCACCAGTCCTCAATCCAGTGGTCAATACTAACCCACAATAGTGATCCCCAGACTCTGACCTGGTCTCTTCTGCACATCTACCAATCTCTTCTCAAGATGTTTCAATGCTGCTGCTGTTGCGGCTGTTGCTGCTGTCGACGTTCTTGCCGTTGTTCGAGGTGGTGATATGGTTGTTGATGTTGTTGTTGTTGATGTTGTTGTTGTAGGAGTTGTTGATGTTGATGTTGTTGGAGGAGTTGTTGGAGTGGATGGCGCTAGTTTCGATGAAGATGATTTTAAAGGTGTTTCCGTTGAAATCGTTACTGATGTTGGCAAGTTTTGTTCGGTCTGCATCGAGCCTGTTGACGATACAGCGGATGAATTTAATGAACTGACACTCGAATGCTTTGACCTCGCAGGTTTAACTATGGTAGCTGTCGTATTCGTTGCAGTTGCAAATGATGTCGACGTTGTTGTTGTTAGAGATGTTGTTGGATACGTGGCTGCAGATGTTGAGACTGGGGAGTATTTGCGGACTGTTGGTTTGGGCGGAATGGCAGGAGGTGTTTTAGTCGGCGGTGAGTTGGTCGAATTTGAATTAGAAGATGAAATTGTGATGTTATTGTCAACTAATAATGTTGCTGAGGCCGTTGCAATAGGCTTTGAAAATACTGTAGTAGCCGTTGGATAGAAAAGTAAGTTCACTGGTTGATCATGCGGCAGATTTTGAGTTTTGAAACTAGAGTTTGTTGTCGCTATTGTGGGAGATAATTTAGTCGTTTCAACGGTTGTTGGGCTGTTAGAAAGCAATGTATCCTTTATAGGACTTATCATAAGACTAGTTATATCAATACCAACGTCATTTTCGACCATTTTTTCTTTGAGAATCTCGTCACCGAATTTCATACACTGGTCATCTTCAAACTTCAGAGGTTTCAAGACTCCGATCCTTATGAGGCCTCGCGGAACTTGCTTCAAAGCCGTCAGGGCAACTTCCAAGTTGGATCTGAGAATCGGAGTGTTGTTGACTGAAATGAGTTGATCGCCTGGTTGCAGACGTCCATCCACCTCTGCTGCACCTCCAGCCACCAAGCTGCGGATCAAAATTAAGCTCTCTATTTCGTCATTCGTTTTTGCTTGGCCGTTTGTCAGGAGTGCTTCGCCATTTTTTGGGCTCTTGAAAATTAAAAAAAAACATAAAATACTTGCTGCTGTATGCAAAAGTATAAAGATGTGATGGACAAGTAGTTGAAAAATGGTTATGCAGCTGTTTCATTCACTCATTTGATTTTAAATAGGTGATCATTGAATGATGAACTACAACATGATTGTGCAACAACAAAAAATGATCCCCAAGAAGAAACGATAGCCAAGAAATAGAAGTGTTTTCAGTTAAATGAATGGAAGTACAAAACGAAGGGAGCAGACCGAGTAATGGAAAACACTGAATCCCAGTCCCCGGTCCTCCTTCAAGAGGTCCACGTAGACAGGTTGGTCACTCCATCCATTCCTGAACAGGTTGGAGAATGTTTGCGGGTCTGATAAGGATTTCCTCCTGATGACGTTCGTGTTGAAGTTGCTGTTCGTTTTGTTGCCCATGTCTGAACTAGCGACCCCATCACTTGCTGGCTGGTTATTGGCGGTGATGTTGTTTCTTACGTCAGCTGTTGCTCTGTGATGAATGGTTTTGCATACATTATTAAAATTATTATTTGTTGCATAGATATAATTAGGTTTCATGCATTTAACAACATCATGCACATCGTTACTAATAATGATGTCGTTATTATTGTACCTGGTAGTACTGATTGGCTGGCTCATGTCTTCGTGGTATGCAGATTTCTCGATGTAACCATTAACAGTTTCGAAGTTATTTGAATTGACGAACCCGTTTGAAAGTGCAACTCTATTTAAAATATCTTCATTGATATGTGGACCGGCGTTCGAAATGAGAGCCAACTGCTCGAAACTGTCCCAAACTTCGTCTTCAGTGGCAACGTCTTTCGAGGCAGGTGATGCTGATTGCGTGGCATCTGCTGATGTTGAAGTAGTTGTTGTCAGATTGTGAAAATTTGTTGTTGAACTTTGTGTGAACTGCGTTGTTAAGTTTGAGGAGTTCGTTTCAGATATTATGGTCGATGTAGATGTTGTTGTTCCGTGTGCATTCAGCGCAGTTGCGAGTAGAACTGGTTTGAGAGGTTTTGATCTGTTTTTCATATTAGCCGGGTTGAAAGTTTCTGTTGATGTAGTGCCGCTTCCGACGATGTAATTGTTTTTCAAAGCGAACGGAATTTTGATGTCGTCACTTTTCAACGAGTTTGATGCATTCAATTTCGCTTGAGGTTTAAATGTTGTTGTTGTTGTTGTTGATGATGTTGTTGTTGTTGATATTGTTGCAACAATGGTAATATTTTCATCATTTACAAAACTTTCATTAACAATTCCGTTGTAGTAATTGTGATTATCTTTCTCCGCTAGATGGCCACCATTAACAGTGGTCCGGGTAATATTTTGAGAGCTATTATTATTAACATTTTCATTGCTGTTGGTGTTGCTGTTGTTGTTGCTGTTATGACTATCATGCATATAATTATGGTGCAAGTTCTTACTTGCCTCGTCCTGAACTGGTCTGCCATAGTCATCATCAGCATCAGCAACATCATCATCAGCACCATCCAGAGACAGCCGTCCACAGACCATGACGACAAATTGAGAAAGATTCTTCAGAATGTGAACAACTTGTGCGTGCGGCATGTCGAACAAGGCATACTGGTCCACCTGGCCAATGAATTTCAAGTAAATTTAAAAGTTGCTGAATTCAGAATAAATTCAGTTTAATTTAGTCTAGTTTAATCTAGTTTAATTTAACAAATTAATCACAAATAATAATAATAAACTAACACAATAAAAAATTTGAACTGAAAATAAAAGTGTCTTTAAAATAATCGCCATAATTCCTCACAATTGAACTTGACTTTAAAAATACAAAATAACGGGGAACGTTAGATATAAGAGCATGTAAGCTGTAAAGTAGAACCCTGCGCGGTTAGCAATTTAAACCGCAAAAACCGCACCGCAACCGCGGTTTTTTGCGGTTGCGGTGCATAAATCATGCAGTTTTACGCGGTTGCGGTTTTGAAATGTGCGATTTTTCCGCGGCGCGGTTTTTTTATCAAAACCGCGGTGACCGCAAAAATTTTGTTAAATATTTTTGTTCGTCCATAACATTTTAAAAATTTGCATTATCATTGTAATAATTTTTATATAAGTGTCTTTGAAAAATCTTAATATCTTTGGAAGCCGTTGAAGCAACCATTTTCTTTTTCCTGTTTACTTTGAAAGAAGTAGTTATTTTATTTACGGCGTGGTTAATTATCGATTATTTTATAAAAATGTCCGAGGTAAAAAATGTTGAAGTTGATCCACAGGTAGATGTAATTGATAAAGAATTTTTGATTAAATTGATGATGTCCAAAAGCAAAAAAGTTTCTTTAAAAGCGCAAGAAAATTCTAAAAGTGAAATTTGGAAAAATTTTAGCAGAATTTATTTTAAAAACGTGGCTAAATCATTTATCTGTTGTAGCAAATGTGAAGCCAAAATGTTATTTATTAAGAGTAACAGTGATTTGAATGTAGATAGTTATGATTTATAATGTCAATAAAAGCATTAATGTTGTTTTTCATTTCTTGCGGTGCGGTTGCGGTTTTCGGCAGTGCGGTTGCGGTGCGGTTTTAAATGTTGCGATTTAGTGCGGTTGCGGTTTTTGAAAATTCCAACCGCGCAGGGCTCTACTGTAAAGTAACAAACTGGTCGAGACAGTGGCAAATATTTGAAACGACACGTCAGCCCACTACGAAAAGCATTTAAACTTTGACCGACCTGCAACAGAAGATCTCCCTCTTTCAAACACCCCTGCCTGGCCACCACTCCATCTGGATTAATGTTAACCAAATAATGACGGTATGTATCGCTACCACCATCACCACCGCCATCATCATCATCGTTGTTATTATCATCATCATTATTTTTCTGTTTGATGTTCTTTATGGTACGTGTGTCCAATCCAATGCCAAGAGAGCTCGAGTCTGATTGCTTCATTATTTTGGCCACCTGGAGGTTTCATGGAAGGCAGTCATCCATCCAATCATCACTTTCGATTCACGCCGGCTCATTACAATTCATCCTCATCATCGTGGGTTACATTCAACAAGGCAATCCAGCAATACGCTTACACAGTTTGCGTAGCTTATTAATTCTGAAATAATCTCAGGTCCATGAACACCGGCCATGCACATTTTAAAAATCATTTCTGATTAGGCCGACTCACGAATTGTTTTTAAAAAGTGTGAAAATTAGTGCAAGCAAGTAAAAAATAATTAGAACGACTCGAACTAACGATGATGTCATAATTGCTGCCCACTTGCGACTTCCAGAATGTTTGCAGCTCCTTGATGGTATCTTCCTGCTGGTCATCTGCAGTGGTTGCTAAGTTACGTGATTGACCTCATTTCAACAACAATAAAAAAAATAAAATAAACTAGAAACGAAACGAAATCAAGAATCTCACCATTATACACATCATCGTTTGTTAATGCTAAAGATGGTGTATACTGCTGGTGGTGGGGAAGCTGTTGTTGCTGCTGCATCTGCTGTTGCTGCCAAAATAAATGCTGAATTTGCAGATTTAATAACAATGTCCAATCGTCATTTTAAAATCAACGTTTACAAAAAATTTACGTGAAATATAATTTTTTAAAAGTCCAGTAGTACAAACGACACAAACATTGTTGTTGCTGTTGAAATTGGGTAGAAAGTTTCTCTCCATCTTCAACCTGACCACTTGTCCAGTGTTCTTAAAAACCTCAACAGCCTGTTCGTAGTCCAAGTTGTGCATCGGTTCGTTGTTCACCTGTTAAACATAAACATAAAAAAATGATGGGCGCGAAAAACATACACTCACTTATATACTTCTAAATAAAATAAAATAAGTCAGGTTTGTGGGCACAATCGTCTTCGTCATCATTTCATGATATAATAATAATAAATTATTTGATCACCATCCACATGTCATCATCACTGTCATAACATCTTGTGAATTAAAGTTTTTTTAACAATTTGGCTTTCTTTGAGGTTTACAATTCAATTAAATATATTTAAATGTAAATATAATTGAATGACAATATAATTAAATTAAGTATAATTAAATTAAACATAATTAAATTAAACATAATTAAATTAAACATAATTAAATTAAACATAATTAAATTAAATATAATTAAATTAAGTATAATTAAATTAAATATAACTAAATATAGACGTGATCACGCAAAGTTACTCTAAAAATTATTGCTATTTGTCGTCCAGATAACATTTTTAGCCAATTTTTTTCATGGTTACATAGTGATTAGATAAAATTGAAAACCTTACCGCTGACATATTTATTAAAAACTAATAAAGAGAAATCGCTGAAGGGTCATTTACAGGCTGAACAGTACATGCAATGAGAAAGCAAGAACACGGCGTGTCAGTACAATCCAGCACGAGATAAAGATATATGTAAGTGGATAACGGACATACAGCTATGCCCTCGTAAAAAAGGAACAACATCAGGCAAGATGGCTTCAAACATATCACGTGGCTGGCCTCATTCCACTCTTCAAGTCACTGCAGCCATGCTATGGTGCCATACGCAGACAAACTGTTTGTCACTGGAGGCGAACAAAGTCATGTGATGAGAACACTTGACAATGGTTATAATGGTTATCAGAGTTTGTCACTGTTTTTGATCTATCTGAGACTACAACTGAATAATCTTTCCAAACCTTTGACGGACAGCCTGAACGCAAAAACTAAATTGGCACTCTGCTGAATAACGACCTATCCAAATTTATAAAAAAATGAAATCAACTGAAAATCAAAACAAAAAAACCAGCAACAATGATTCAACAATGAAACAGGCGACTGCTATGTTGTTGGTAATCATTGCAAGGTTTCACACATCAGGTAATTCCTACTTTTTATTGCAGGCTCTAGTGTACATAAAATGGAAAATTAAATGTAGTTGGAGGATGAACATGCAATCGATAAGAATAACACGGTGCATCAGCATGATCCAGCACGTGATGTGTTAAGTCAGCAATGAATCAGGCCACTGTCAGTGTTGTTGACGACAATTGCAAGGTTTCAAAATATAGGAACCATTCAAAAAAGTTTATTCATCATACTTCAAGTTATTCATACTATTTCCGAAGGTTGCACTTACTGTAAATACAATGGAAAAATATATACAAGTGGAAGACTATTTTTATGGATAGCCTGGACACAAAAATGAACGCGGCACACAGCAGATCATCAACCTATCTAACTTTTTAGAACATGAAACCTCCAAAATATCAAAATAAACGAAAAAATCGACAACAATGAAACGGTCGACTGCCAATCTTGTTGATAATCAAACAATTAATGTTTCAAAATTTTGAGGTTTCGATGGTCAGTTCTAGTTTATATGTCCTGATATTGCCAATGAAACATTTAAAAAAGTTCAAAAAGTTTATTTACAAGGATGTGTAATCTGTTTATCTACTGAGATTTGTATTTTTTTTTACATGCAAGTGGAGAACAAACATACAATGTTCAACCAATCAAAAAAAACACGGTGAAATACAACAATTAAAAAAACAAGGCAATGGTTTAGCGAGTGTTGTAAAGTACATCCTGTAAAGTACATTCCCAAAAAAGATTGAGAGTGCCAAATTGGTAAGTCATTTATCTCATAAATTTGGTGATTTTTAAGGTAGGAGTTGTTTAATTGTTAGCTATCTATTTTTATTTTAAATAACGTTTATTTATTGTTTCATCTATTTTATTTATTATTATTATATATTATATTATTATATATGTTATTATATTATATTTATCGTTTCAACTATCTATTTTTATTTTTGGTTAAGTTTATTTATTGTTTCATCTATGCCATATATTTTATAATGCACAATTATGCCGACAATTTATTAAGATTTTTTTGCCACTTCAAGGCAAACGAAAAATATTCCAGCGACATTCGAGTAATTTCATACTTCAAGTATTTCATATGATTTTTTGCAGTATGATCCATACGTGATGTGTTGAAGTCAAGAATGAAGATGGCAACTGTCAATGATGTTGATGATTATTGCAAGGTTTCAAAACCGATCAAGGGTCAGTTCTAGTTTAGGTGTCTTGATAGTGCCAATGAAACATTTAAAAAAGTTTATTGATGAGGGTATTATATCTAATTTTTTAATTGGGTTTAGAAATTTTTTAAAAATATTTTTTCATATAACTTTGGTATAAAACATAAACATTTAAATTTTTATTTCATTCAAATTGTCTAACATTACGGTTAATTAATAGAAAAATTCCCATAATTTTTTATAAAAAAAAATCAAGTGCTAACTGTCGTTTAAAAACAACTTTAAAAAAAGACTAGAATCATTTTTCACCATTTCATTCACAGAGTAGTTGGACAAACTTGCGAACGCTCACACTGACGTAGTGATCAAAAACTAATGAACATGTGTGATTCAATGCACCAGAAACATTGTGCGTGGCAGACGCGGGCCATTTTGTATTCGAACCCAGTCACTGCAGCAGCAATGCCAGGCATCTTAACCATTACACCAAAATTAAAAAATTCCCAGTATAAAATTCTATTTTGTATTCATTGGTTTATTTATGTATCTATATATTCCCCAATTTGTTGTTATTACTTTTTTGAATAATAATTCAACACGTCGTAG